AAAAAAAGAATGAAGGAGAGGAAGAAAGAGGAAGAGGGAGAGAGAAACGGGGGTGTGGCTTTATTGCCCGGGCTGGAATGCAGTCTAAAAATGGGTATGCCTATAATTGTGCTTAATAATAGAGACATGAAAATGAAAAAGAAAATGAGGGAAGAAAATAACAAACAAGCAGCCAACCAGTGTTTTGTTGAAACCTGTAAATAGATGTGATGTGGTACTGATAAGAGTGTATATTTTGTGTATTTAAAGTGGAGAGTTGTATAAATGTTAATTAAGTTTACTTGTTCCGGATCTGAGTTCAAATCCTGGATATCGTTGTTAATTTTCTGTCTCATTGATCTGTCTAATATTGATGTTGAAGTCTCCCACTATTGTGTGGAAGTCTAAGTCTCTTTATAAGTCTTATATATCTGGGTATTCCTGTATTGGGTGCGTATATATTTAGGATATTTAGCTTTTCTTGTTGCATTGATCCTTTTATCATTATGTAATATCCTTCTTTGCTTCTTTTGATCTTTGTTGCTTTAAAGCAACTCCTGCTTTTTATTTATTTATTTATTTTTGCTCTCCATTTGGTTGGTAAATCTTTCTCCATCCCTTTGTTTTGAGTCTTTGTGTATCCTTGCATGTGAGATGGGTCTGGATGCAGCATACTGATGGGTTTTGGCTTTTTTGGCCTGTGTCTTTGGACTGGGTGATTTGGTTGATTTAAATTTAGAATTAATAATAATATATGTGAGTTTAATACTGCCATTTAATGTTAGCTGGCTGTTTTGCCTATTAGTTGATGTAAATTCTTGATTATGTTGATGCTCTTTAATTTTTGGTATTTTTTAGAAAGGCTGATATTGGTTGTTCCTTTCTATATGTAGTGGTTCTTTCAGAAGCTCTTGTAAAGCAGGCCTGGTGGTGATGAAATCTCTGAGTCCTTGCTTGTTCACAAAATATTTTATTTTTCCTTCCAGCTTATGAAGTTTATGAAGCTTAGTTTGGTTGGATGTAAAATTCTGGGTTGAAAGTTCTTTTCTTTAAGGATGTTGAATATTGGCCCCCACTCTCTTCTAGCTTGTAGGGTTTCTGCTCAGAGATCTGCTGTGAGTCTGATAGGCTTCCCTTTATGGGTAACCTGACCTTGCTCTCTGGCTGCCCTCAGTATTTTCTCCTTCATTTCAACCCTGGTGAATCTGGCGATTATGTGCCTTGAGGTTGGTCTTCTTGAGGAATATCTTTGTGGTGGTCTCTGTATTATCTGGAGTTGAATATTGTCCTGCCTTGCTAGGTTGGGAAAGTTTTCCTGAATAATATCCTGAAGCGTATTTTCCAGCTTGGATTGATTCTCTTCGTCACATTCAGGTACACCTATCCAGCGTAGATTAGGTCTTTTCACATAGTCCCATATTTCTTGGAGACTTTGCTCCTTCCTTTTTATCCTTTTTTCTCTAATCTTGTCTTCTCGTTTTATTTCATTAAGTTGGTCTTTGACTTCTGATATCTTTTCTTCTGCTTGATCGATTCGGCTGTTAAAACTTGTGCATAGTTCGCGAAGCTCTCGTTGTGTTTTTCAGCTCCATTAATTCAGTTATATTCTGCTCTAAATTGTGTATTCTTGTTAACATTTCATCAAACCTTTTTTCAAAGTTCTTAGTTTCTTTGCATTGGGTTAGAACAAGTGCTTTTAATTCACAGAAGTTTCTTATCATTCACCTTTTGAAGCCTGCTTCTGTTAATGGAACACACTTGTTCTCCATCGGGCCTTGTTCCGTTGCTGATGAGGAACTGTGATCCCCTGTAGAGGGAGAGGCATTCTGATTTTGGGTATTCTCAGCCTTTTTAGGCTGTTTTCTTCCCTTCTTTATAGATTTATCCACCTGTGGTCTTTATAATTACCGTCTTTATAATTGGGCTTCTGAGTGGATGTCCAACTTGTTGATTCCCAGCGCTAAAATCTGAGCAGCCCACTGCGCCGGCCAAAACAGCGGCTTTATGATAGATGGTGCTTTTCTGACTCTGCACCAAGAACCGCCGTACGAAGGCAGCGGCAAAGCCGCCTTGCCGGCCACGAGAGTCGCGCTGGTGACCTGTGGGGCTCCTCCGCTGGGAATCTCCTGGTGTGTGAGCAACAAAAATTCATCTGAAAGTGTGGCGTCCTCTCCTTCTCTGTGCTTTGACTGGGAGCCACAATCCCGAGCTGCTAGTGATCAGCCATCCTGGATCTCTCTCTTGAAAGAAGTATTAAAGGGCACAACTTTTTAAAATGCACATTGGAAAATATTTGTAAATTTCTTACAGGTAAAACCTTTTCAATTTTTTAAAATGCAGAGTTTTTTTTCCTAATTAATGTGAAATAACACAGGAAAGGAAATAAGCCCTGAAAATAGGCTTTATCTGAAAACTCAAAACTAAAGCAACTTAGAATAAATGGACATCTTACTACTGCTGACAATTTTCTAAAAAACTGATGTATCTTCTCTCAGTGGTGAGGCCTAAGAGGTAAAAATGGAAAGGGAAAAGGAGAGCCATCAGGAGTACGCAGGTCACTTGGAAATTAGGTAATAAGGGAAAATGCCAAGAAGAGTTTTTTTT